GCACTGGCGGCAGCCATTAAATATATTTGTAAATGTTTTTTACACATGTAAATTCCTCGGGAGGTGTGCCGCAAAGAGGCGCACTCCCAAAATCTCCAAGCCGGTCCGCTCGATCACACGCGCCTGCACAGCCTCGGAAGGTAGTTGAAGAATCGATTCATCGATCAACTCCGGCCCCTGGTGACTTGCGGTCCAATAGATTGCAAGTGGCAAATCCAAAGCATGCAAGGGCTTACACTACATGGGGTGGAATTCTTTGGTCTGCTCGGGACAAACTGCAGGGTTTAATTAGGGTTTAGGTCCAGATCCTGAACTTGATGCATGCTACACCACGCTACGAGTACGACAGGACCCAGGAGTCAGTGTAGAACGTGTTTGCGCCTGAGCACCTTATCTATACTTGGTGTGTAGTCTGCCAAAGCTCGTCCTCACCCCGGAAGCCCTAGAACTATTTAGAGTGGGGTTTTGCGATCCTTTATAGTATAACTATAAGAAGGACCCCCCAAAAAAATCGTATAGGTAATTTTCGAGGCCCTTATATGAAACCACTAAACCCCTGAACCCTAAACCCTCCAAACCTCAACCACCTGGCCTGGCAGTCCAGGAAGGCTTCCGCCACCTGCAGCGAAGCTCCAGAAGAGGAATAACAATACCTCCAAAGACTCTCGGAAGCTCAGCAACGCAGATTTTCGACATGCAGGCATCCCAGCTTAAGGGCAAGAGCAGGATTCCCTGTTTGGAATCATCTTTTTCAGGATTTTCGCTCAGACTGCCCGGGGTCGTTTGTCACCCCGGGACAGGAGCAGTATCGCCCTTCTTGGCGTGGACACTTCGGGGCTCGCCATGGCGGCTTCAGCATCGGCCTTCCGCTTCTTGAGAAAGCTGGCGAGGGTGTCTTTTTGGTGTTGGACTGCGAGCTGTAGGGCTGTCCTTCCATCCTTCATGCATGCGTCGATATTGGCACGAGCTTCCACCAGCAGCTTTAAAACATCGAGGTGTGTTTCCTCACAAAGTCTGTTTAGGATATCGTGGTTGTCCCATCTCCGTTCCATAGGTTTCGTTGGACCACAAATAGCATGAAGTGGTGTCGCTCCCGTCGCATCGGCTTTGTGAACATTTGCACGCATCCCGATCAACTTTTTGACCCGCAGTATGTCGCACTCATAACATGCACGCACCAGTGCAGTCTCCCCAGTCTCCATGTCAACGGCATTGAGATCAGCCCGCCACTTGAGTATGAGCCTCAAGTTCTCCTCAGCTCCAGACTCCAGTTCGCAGGCCAAACTGTCTAGACTAAACCCCAAACCCTAAAACCATTCTGATTCACCACACAAAAAACCTAAACTTCAACTACTCGGCTACCAAGTTGCCGGGGAGGAATACCTTTGTGTCGCCAGGTACACCAGCGACTTTTCGATCGGGCCATGGTCCGAAAGACTCGCTCTGGCAACCAGCAAGGCTTCCATCATGGGATATGTGCTGCTATAAGGGCTCCGCAGGTGGTTTCCTATCACCCAATGTAGCGGTGCTTCCGGACCAGCTAGGTTGGGATCCGCACGAAGTTCGAGCAGCAGTTGCACAAGAGGCACGTCGCAGCAGTCAATAGCCTTTCTGAGCGGCGTCTTACCGAGACTGTTCGTTACAGTGATATCTGCTCGTCCGTGAATTAAAGCAGCAACGACCTTGCGTTTCCTCTCTTTGGATAGTTCGAATGCCCCTATGTCAGGCCTCGTTTCAACAGCTTGGAAAATTGGCGTGCCAGTCGCCTCGTGTTCCACACATTTGAATTTAGGTTCATAGCCCAGGTACTTGTAAGGGGTCCCATTCAGGTCTGTGCCAGCTTCAAGCAGCAGCTGCACAGCTGCGAGGTTTCCACACTGAATGGCAGCTTGCAGTGCAGAGCGATCATGCTTCGGGCAACGATGGTCAGGATTCACCAGCTTCCGCAGCAAGGCCTCCGTTCCGCTCGAATCACGCCGCTCGATGCTCCGCAGCATCTGGTTGTGATGTTGGCAGGTGGCCTCCTCATCAAAGCTTAGCTTCACCAGCTGAAGGCTGCAGGGGACATGCATCTGCAAGTCAACATCGTCTTGTAGTTCAAGACCCAGGTGACTAAGAATCCTCTGGCGAAATCTGGGCAGCCCAGTCACACTGTGTAAGTGGCTTTTGAGTGCACGAACGGAGCTTCCCTGGTCGGAAACCAGCTTTCTGAACTCGTCGTTCGTGAGGCTCGCGACCGTTTCGCCAGACACGGCAAGGATGCTCAACATTGCAGCACCGGCAGTTGCTCCAACTGCAAAGACGCTTAGCCTGCAGGGCTGCTCGGGCCTATGTGGCCATTTCTGCCTCTGAGCCGATGTGATATACATATAACTATAAACAAAAAAAATAAATATATATATATATACATAAATATATATATATACAGATTTTGTAGTCTGTAAAGTATGTAGCAGCATCGATCCAGAAGGTCCATCCTGCCAAGAAGCTCCCTGATGCCCGGATGCACGTTTGAATCCTAGAGCGTCAGCATCAACTGAACAGTGAGTCACGGAACCATTATTGTCTTTGTTGTTGTTGTTGCTGTTGATGCTGTTGTTGCTGTTGCTGTTGCTGTTGCTGCTGTTGTTGTTGTTGTTGCTGTTGCTGTTGCTGTTGCTGTTGCTGTTGTTGTTGTTGTTGCGGTATACAGTTTTTATGAGTATTACGATTACGATTATTGCCGTTATTGCTGTTGCGATTGTAATATTGGCCTTGAACAGGCCAGAGGGAGCCACCCAAAGCAAAAGCAGCAAAGAAAGAATTCAAGGAGGAAGCGGCTGGGAAGCGAATTCTAATTCCAAAGCTCTAGAGTCTAGATGGCCGAGCATGGAACACAGAACAAGTCCGATGTGCCCAACACCCCTCATGACCCCAACTCTCTCGTCGCCAGGCCTCTTTGAGGTATCTGGCAGCCGACGGCTTTTTCTCATGCCCATGGTGGACCTGAATGTTTAGGCTGGGCGGATTTTGGGGGGCTGTGAATTATTGGAGTCTGCGGCCGAAAGGGTTGAAAGCGGAGCGTTGGCATTACAGGTTCGGGACCGCTTCTTGCTCAAACGAAGAGGCCCTGGAAGCGACTAGCAGCCGCCGCAGCCAAGAACAGACTCGTATATTCAGCACATGCTTACAATCCAGGTACAACAACACATATGTACCAAAGCTGTCATGCACAAGGAACAGCATACAGTGACATGCCATGAGCGGAGGGCAAGCAGGGCAGCAAAATGCCACCTTGTCCGGACGCAAAAGCCCCGATCGCGTAGGCTCGAAAGTACTGGGATCCATATAAAAGAGCCTGGTACAAAACCGCAGGGTTTCTCTATTAGCATCTTATATCGCGCACCCTAAACCCCTGCACCCCAAATGCCTACATCCCAAACCCTTAAATCCTAAACCCTCAGACCCTAAACCATACATTAAGGGTACCTGAACCGGGTACAGACATCCAGGAGTATACTGATCGTAGATACAACAGGTCCAAATATCTCGGTGTCATTAACACAAGAACGGCAACCGAAAGTTTGTGCAAAGGCATGTGACTCCGTAGATAGACAGCCAGACAGACAGATAGATAGGTGTAGGTATAGACACAGATATAGATATAGATACAATTAGGTTTAAATATAGATTTAGATTTAGACAGGAAAATAAGTAGCTACATACCGGAAAATACAAAGAAGTGAAATAAGGGAACAATGTCGCGCTACCTCCTCCGTTTATTTCTTCCCGCATAAGTAGATAGATAAACAGACAGATAAATAGATACACCGAGACAGATCGATAGACAAACAGACAGATAGACAGACAGAGGGACAGATAGATAAATAGATAGAAAGATAGACAGATAGCTGGACACATAGAAGAATCGCGATATCCCGGGACTTGTAAGAAAGTGAGGCAATGGAGGAGTGCTTCGCTTGTTATGTCTCGTTTGACTGTTTCCACCAAGAACCCGGCAATCGTGCGCATGAGCCACTTCAGGTGGTTCTCCATGGCCTGAGTTCATAGGCTCTGTAGGTAGTAACCCAAGAAACATTAGCAGTTCCTCTCCGGCGGCGGCCCTTTGCTGTGTGATATGTTCTACTACGTACAAACAGACTCACATACGATTAAATATCCACATACAATCTGTTTAAAGGTAAACAACATTGCAGTAGTTGCCTGCTTCTGTGCTGACAACTTCCTTGCCTTGCCTCTTGGTAGGACGACGACGACGCCAGCGACCATGACCACCACGACGAAGACTGCAAGTAAGTACTCCTCCTCCCCCTTCTCCTCCTCCTCCTCATCCTCCTCCTGCTACTTCTGTTTCTGCTGATCCTGCTGCTACAATAACTTTCAGTGCTGCTGCCGACTGGTGATGAACTCTGCCAATCTATATGCCATCTGGGCGCATATCCCAATGATACATACTACTTTACCCTACACATAACATGTATGTGTGTATATATATATAAGTGATTCAAAAAGTAGTGTGCCCATCTGTTAGTATCTGAGTAGGTATGCGTGTACATGTGTAACTGTGTGTACGAAGGCATGAACACGCAAACGTGGGGATGCATGTATCTGTCATCCTGATGTACACGTACATACATACATACATACATACATACATAATCCCTACATGCACACATACATCCATACATACCCACACATACACAGACATACATGCATACATAAATACATACATACTTACTTACTTACTTACTTACTTACTTACTTACTTACATGCATAAATACATGTACTGGTAGCTATGCGAACGAAAAGCACGAGAAAACCGCGGATGGCACAAGAAAGCTCGGCAGCTAGGCTAGCGAGCAGAGTCACAAAAGCCTGGAAGCCATAAACATACGATCATGCATGATATGTAGTACGCGTACATGTCTGCAACCTCTGTATACATGAGTGTATGTGTATATATATATACACATGTATATATAGATGCATGTATTCCTACTTGTTTATATGTGCATAACATAACATCGCACGGAAAGCCGGTAGTGAGTACCCAATGACCCACAACGCTCTTCAGCGCTCAGAGCCGAACGGTACCACTGAAGGCGCGCAGCCCCGAGGAGTATGCCGTCGCAAGGAAGTTCAAGGAATACTGTCCGGGCCTTGGTACTCACGATGTGCATGAAAGTTTCGATAAGTCTCCAATGTACACATTCAGTTCCAGGATTGGGAGCTCAGAGCTTACCATCACTATTTCACTAATACCACTCCTACAAAAACAACAACAACAACTACTACTACTACTACTACTACTTCTACTTCTACTTCTACTACTACTACTACTACTACTACTAGTACGACGACGACGACTACTACTACTACTACTCGTACCACTACATAAATTGCTACATATACCACCACTTACACTTCTGCTAAGACCAAAACTCATGATACTGTTTCTGCAACTACTTATACTACAACTTTTACTGCTAGTGATACTACGACTGCACTACTACTACTACTACTACTACTACTACTCCTACTGCTACTACTACTAGTACTAGTACTACTACTACTACTACTACTACTACTGCTGCTAATTAACAAGGGTCCAAGGGGTTATAGAAGCCTGCGAAATGTCGTAAAACGGCAGGTGCAGTACGAGGGAAATATGGTTGGTTCCAATCTGGCAGCGGGAATCAAGGGCACCTGGCGCATCCACGCTGCCCGGCCTTGGTTTGCCAGTTTAGGCTGTACACGGATGTGGGGGGGGGACATAAGTTCTAAGTCGGCCTCTTTGTTCAGGTAAACTGTGGTAAGCCCCAAACCCGGACCGATTGCCATTCTATGCTGTAGTGGTTCGACATACCCGTCCTCATACAATAAGGTAGCTTCACGTAAGCGAGCATGTATCTGCAATGCTACCTCCTCAAAAGACCTTTAGCACAGCCCCATGATGCTGCGGGCATGTCTGCAGTGTTTCTTCCCTATAAACTCGAATCCCTCAACAAGGGCCTGGAGACTGCATATGCATGCTGGGGTTTGGCATTGATGGTTTCGCTGACTGGACACTTAAAATCTGGCCATTAAGGAGTATGATTTAAGTCCTATAAGGAGCCGTCTACAACACAAGGAATAGGCTGAACAAACCCCTTAATTCTACAGATCCCTCAGTCCTTCAGCCCTTCATTCAGGAGTCTTTGGGTGCTTGGGTTTGCAGCTGCCGGGTTTTCGTGGAGGTTTGAGTCCAAGGGATAGGAAGTACTGTTTCCCCACAGTCCCTGCAGAATCTAATTTTCTTAGACCCGAAACCCTGAACCCGGCCGGCCGAGGACGACTCTGACGGCGGCATCCATGCGGAGGATCGCATCAACAATGACACCTTCTACATTTGGCCTCCGGAGCCATGAGTGAGCCTCGGAGTCTTCAGGGAGGTATGGATTTACGGACTATGTAAACAGAATATGTATGGATGTACGTGTGTTTGTAACTGTGTGTATGCATATAAATATAAATATAATTATAAATATATATATATATGCATGTGTACATACACATGATTATATATATATACATACACATGTGTATATACATATATATATATATTCGTGTATACATGCGTACCCTGCATGTAAGTAGGGTACAACGTCTCAAGACCGAGCTTGGGCTGTAGGGCTGCAGGGATCCGAAGTCATGCGTCAACCTTGGAGTTGTTTCGATATTAGGGCGGTCATTGCGGGGCACCATAGGGCTTTATAGCATTCTTGTTAAGCTTAGGGTTCAGGGTTCAGGGGATTCTTGTTAAGGAACTTGAAAGAGTAGGTTACCATAGTAGGGATCTGTAGGTGTAGTGAAGGATAGGGTTTCCTTATTATGGTGGCTTAAAAGTGGATTCCCCTTAGGAGAGCACAGTTTATGCCCGGAGATTCCGCAACCGCCCTTGAGGTATTATGAGACCCTAAACCCTAAACCCTAAACTCAAACTCCACCTCTCTCGAAATTGATGTAGGGTGTGTTCCGTAGTCATGGAGTGCCGGAGTTTCTCGGGGTTCACACTTTCTAGGGTTTGGGGGTAGTTCAGGCTTTCCGGGTTGAAGGTTGAGTGTGCGGGTTCTAGGGTTTAGGTTTAGGGTGCAGGGTTTAGGGGTTTAGGCCTTGAGTTTTTCGGGGGCAAAGCCTGAGCCGGTGTTGGTCCCCCTCTTGGTTCTTTACTCGGGGGAGTGCCCCTGGCGCAACACGACTTCTTCTGCGGGGAGGGAGCCAGACACACAC